AGAGAAACCATGGGTCTGGTCAAATGAAATCAGATCTTCTCTCTTTCTACATTTTCTCTCCTTCAGTATGAGTGTGAGTGTGCGTGTGTGTGTGTTCACACAGGCATGCCTGCACACACCTATGTTCAAAGTGAGGATGTGTGAGAGTGACAGGTGAACTTGTTATTTTTTAAAGATTTTATGTTTGTTTTTATGTGTAAGAGTGTTTTGCCTACATATACATAAGTACCCCATGTGTATGCAGTATCCACAGAGGTCAGAAGAAGGTGTCAGATCCACCAGAACTGGAGTTGAGGATGGTTGTAAGTTGCCATGTTGATGCTGGGAACAAAACCTGGGTCCTCTGCAAGAGCAACAAGTGTCTTAACTGCTGAGCCATCTCTCCAGCTCCTGAACTTATTATTTTAAATATACTTTTCAGAATTTAAAATGTCTAAATCATTGTCAGTGACAAAGCAGTTCCTTTGGGAGATGTCTTTTGGAGTGACTGACTGCAATTTTGTGAATAAATTCAAAAGCACCAAATCTTCAGACTTGGGAACAGACTATCACAAGCTGTTTGGTGACAAAGATTGGCAATCAGGCTGGGTGGTACCACTTTCCTTCCTTTCTTCCTTCTTCTCTCTCTCTCTCTCTCTCTCTCTCTCTCTCTCTCTCTCTCTTTCCTTTTCTTTCTTATTACAGAGAGTTTTGTGGATCCGAGGCTGGCCTCAAACTTGCTATGTGGCTGAAGCTGGGCCTTAAATTTCTGCTCCTTCTACCACCACCTCCCAAGTGCTGGGATTATGTAAATGTGCCACAGCATGCGATTGATACTGATTTTAATAGAGTGAGAAGTAATTGCAATAAAAATATTTTCTCCTGTGGGTCATAGATTGACCCAGGATTCCTATTTGATTCATGTTGCTGGCAGAGTTCCTTCCTCAAAACACAAGAGTTGACATCATTTAACTGCTTGAAAAATCTCCCGTGGCTCCCTATTATCCTTAGAATACAATCCAAGATCCTTAGTTTTGTGGTTGGGGTGAAGAGTAATGGGTGACAAAGGTGGACCAGCAAGGGTTTAAATCTCACCCCTGTGACCTGAGACAGGTTATTCTACCTGTCAGGCTGTTAGTTGCTTTACTTGCTGAAAATAAGGTTAAAGGAACTGGAGAAATGGCTCAGAGGTTAAGAGTGCAGGAACCAGATTTGGTTCCCAGCATCCATATGGCATCTAACAACAGTCCATAAAGTTAGTTCCAGGGGATCTAATGCCTTCTTCTGGCCTCTGTAGGCATTTCAAACATGGGTGCACTTACATGCATGCAGGCAAAAACATACACACAAAATAAAAATAAAATTAAAAACTTTTATTTAAGCCAGGCATGGTGCATGCCTTTAGTCCTAGCACTTGGGAGGCAGGGGCAGGTGGCTCTCTGTGCATTCAAGGCCAGCCTGGTCTACATAGTGAGTTCCAGGCCAGCTGGGGCTATAGGAAGACCCTGTCTCAAAGTAAAACAAAACACACACAGAAAAAAAACCTCTTTTATTCTTTTAAAAAAGGCTAAAACTGTCTACTTTGTTAGGTTGTTTTGAGGACACTAGTATGGCTAGATTATGCAAAGAAGCAAACTCTGTAAGTAGCAATTCTTTATTCATAGCCTATCTAGGGAGAAACCACCTATTTCAACTCACACCAGGGAAAGAGACAAGCTTTCCATGCAGATACACATATTCTGCAATTGTCTAAACAAGACAGGGATGAAGCTCAGTGGCAGAACAGGGAGAGCACTTGTCTTCTATCTTTTCCCATATGGTTTCTGTAACTTACTATGCAGTACACCATCTCCTCTGTGTATGTTCATAGTTGCCTTAACTGTAAACATTGTTTCATTCCCAATCAGGTTGTAATTTACTTAGATCAGAGATTGTATCTCCCAATTCATTTTTGAAGTTCTCATGAGGGAGCCAGGCATGGTGGCTTTGATCCCAGCACTCAGGAGGTAGAGGCAGGCAGATCTCTGTGAGAGGGTTGGCCTGGTCTACTTAGCAAGTTCCAGGTGAGCTGTGGTTACAGGGAGGCCCTGTCTAAAAAAGAAAGAAAGAAAGAGGAAGAGGAGGAGGAGGAGGAGGAAGAGGAGGAAGAGGAGGAGGAGTTGGAGTTTGGTCCTATCAGGGGCTGGAGAAATGGTTCAGCCCTTGATACTCTTCCGGAGAACTGGCGTTTAGGTCCCATCACCCACATCAGGCAACTCACACCCCCCTGTATGCCTTCTTCTGGCTTCCACAGGCATGCACACCTGTTGAGTATAGACACAAAAAGACCTAAATAAAAGTAATAAAAATAAATTTAAAAGGGCTGAAGAGATAGCTCAGTGGTTAGGAACACTTGCTGTTCTTGCAGAAGACCCAGGTTCTGTTCCCAGTACCCACATGGCAGTTTACAGCTGTCTGTAACTCCAGTTCCAGGGGATCTGACACCCCCTTCTGGCTTCAGTGGGCACCTGCATGCATGTAGTGCACAAAAACAAATGCAAGCAAACACACACACAAAGTTAAGGATGGTTCGTAGCCACCATGTGGATGCTGGGAATCGAACCCAGGTCAGTGCTCTTAACTGCTGAGCCATCTCTCCAGCCCCATAAAAATAAATTTTAAGCCAGGCATGGTGGTGCACACCTTTAATCCCAGCACTTAGGAGGCAGAGGCAGGCGGATCTCTGTGAGTTCAAGGCCAGCCTGGTCTACATAGTGAGTTGCAGGATAGCTGGGTCTACAGGGAGACCCTGTCTCAAAAAGACCAAAATAATAGTAATAATAATAATACACAAATAAAATTTAAAAATAAAAATTTTAAACATTCCCATCAACCTTCAATAAAAGTGTCTGGCTCAGAATAGCCAGTTAATAAATGTCTGTTGGAAAAATTCATTCCAGGAGTTAATTTTAGTATTATAATCAATAGTTTTTCTCACCAGCCTGTTTGAAAGGACCCCATCCATCTATATGTACAGTATAAAATCTACATACATTTCACAATCACTAGTACATCTTTGGGTCCTCACCTAAGATGAAGATGAGATTAGGAAATGGATGAGGACTATACAAATAATGCTGATGCTAGAAAGGAATTGGTAACCATTTGATTAAGTTTCTTTTTATTTCTCTCTCTCTTACCCTAGTACCTGGCTTATGGCAGATACTTAAATGTTTGGATACATTAAGTCAACAAACAAATATAGTTAAATGAATGTGACCCAGGTTAGAAGGAAAGGGAAGCCAGTAGGGCTATGCCCCAACAAACTATTCCCATTGCCTCTGCCAGGATCCAGAGTTAAAAGGTATCTATTTTACTAGGCGTTCAGAATTAAGATTTTTCTCCCCATCATATTGTAAGAGTATTCTTGTTTGGGGACAGGCAGGGTCTCACTATGTGCTCCAGGCTGGCCTCCAACGTGTGGTAATCCTTCTGTTTCATCTTACTGAGTGGTGAGATTCCAGGCGTAAGCCACAATGTTGGCTTTATAGTGAGAATTTCAAAAGGGGTCGAGGGCACAGAAAGTTGGGACTTTGGGAGGATGCTTCCCTAGTCCCACTCCCAGGCCTGACTGGTCCAGCCTCCACCAATCAGTATAACCCTGCGAAGAACTCCTGTCTCCCACCACCAGCGCCAGATACCAGGTCGGGTCGAGTGAGCCTGGAGCCATCTATCACAGTCGGGATGAGAGCCAATCTGACAGGCCCTGCCTTCTGGCCAGCCAATTGGAGGAAAGCAGGAGGCATACACCATGGGGGGAGGGGGTGGGGGAAGCTAGGAGGGACGCGAGGGTGGGCTCCAGGTGTTATAAAGAGGATTCGAGGGGCTGGGGCAGCCACCTGTGATCTGGACAAGGTCTGGGCGTGACTACCTAGTCCCTGTGCCTGTTTGCGTGCGCGCCCTCCGGCTGGACCCACGCTCCTGGGGTCTGTTTCAGATGTGCCCCGGAGCCAATTCAGCTGGAGGAAAGAAGGTGGCCGTGAAGCTCCTCCCCCGCCCCTCGCATGCGATCGGGAACTGCTGGGTCTCCCCCTGGGGCACAGAGGGAAAGACTAGGAGGGACCCTGGGGACCCGCAGAGACGGGAAGGCAGTCCCCATCTCGGAACCGCAGACTGCCCTTCCCGAAACCCAGTCCTTGGCGCTCGCCTGCGTGCCCGCCGGCTCCGGCCTGTGGCTGCGCTAATGAGGCGGTCATCTGGGGGAAGCTGGTGCCAACTGGCAGAGCTCTGGGCAGCCGGCCAGGCGGCTCCTCCCAGCTGCGGGCAGTGAGAGAGGGCGGGGGACGCAATACCCATCCGTACCCCAGCACCATGCGAGGTCTTCGCCTTGCGGCTCAGAAGGCTGGACCTGCAAACCTGGGGTCCTCGGGACTGGTTCAGTGCAACCCTTTCCGTGCTATCCCGCCCCCCGGCTCTTTTACAGTATCCCTCCCCATCAGGGTAGGGTAGCCTCCTCACAGCAGGAGAGGACACGATTCTGGTTGCCCTCTCCCTATGGCCATCTCCTATGCAGTCCTGTGGGATGAGGAATTCGAATCTTCTAGAGCAGCGCCTTTAGGAAGTTACTGTCCCCTACAGTGCCCACTTGGTTTTTCTGTTGTTGTTTTACTTTCTTTTTTGTTTGTCTGGTTTTTGAGGTCTTTCTGAGACAGGGTCTCCCTGTAGCCCCAGCTGACCTGGAATTCGCTATGTAGACCAGGCTAGCCTCAATCGCACAGAGATCCGCCTGCCTCTCTGCCTCCCAAATGCTAGGATTAAAGGAGTGCACCACCACGCCCCGCTTGGTTTTGCAGAAGCTGTGGTAAATGCTTGAAACTTTGAGGGCCTCGAGTACCCCTCGGTAAAATGCAGACAGCTCCTCATAGTTCAAAGAATTTTGTGAGCCAGCTTGTGTGAGCCTGACTCGGCCTGTCACTTCCCATTCCCGTCCCTGCGCAATTTAAATTGCTGGGCCCAGGCGGAGTTGCCAGGAAGCGACTTACCCCTCCTGTCCTTGCAGTCGCTTAGGGACTGTGGATGGAGCCACGTTCTGGGAGAGGCCTCTTTCCGGTCACCACATTGGCTCCTGAACGCCACAATTTAATTGCATGCTCTTTTCCCTCCTCCCCTTTCAGAGCTCCCTTTCTGCAACTCTGGGTTGTACACACAGCAACTCTGAAAAGGGTTGTAAGACCCAGCATTTACAACGTAGTCAAATCCATTCTAAACAGCCAGTCTACTTTTGTTTTGTTTTGTTGCGTGGGGGGTTAAAATTATTTGATTTATTATTTTAACTTTTTGTGTATGAGTGTATTGCCTGCATGTATGTAAGTGCACCCACGCAGGTCAGAAGAGGGCTCAGAGGCCCTGAAACTGGAATTATGGACAGTTGTTAGCCGCCATGTGAGTGCTGGGAATCTAACTTGGGTCCTCTGTAAGAGCAGCCAGTGCTCTTAAACGCTGAGCCATCTCTCCAGCCCTATTTTATTTATTTATTTATTTATTTATTTATTTTTAAAATATAGTCCAGGCTAGTCTCGAACTCATCATATAGATGACCTTGAACTTTTGATTCTCCTACCTCCACCTCCAGGGGCTATTATAGACGTGTGCCCCACCCAGCACGGACATGATAACCACATCCAAGGCTCACCACTGTCTTACGGTAGCGGCTGGCAAAAAGAGCGCTCAGAGTTTGGAAGCTGCAAAGAGAGGGAGTCCCAGGTGCTGGTCACCAAGGCAACACACTGGGGCTGGCGTTACCGAGCAGTGTGAGGCAGGTTGAGCCCATCCTGGGGGTGGAGTTAACCAAGGCCACAGACCGTCGGAGTGCCTTCTTTCCCTCCAGGTGGCGCTGTAGGACCGCGGATGCTGTGTCAGGGCGGGGCTTCCAGTGATGCTAGGGTTCTGCAAGAGGCGGAGCGGGGGCGGGGGCGGGGG